ATGGATAATCAATCAAGAAGCCCTAAAAGGTCATGGTCGATTCACTGCAAAGATCAGATCAGCTCACATTTCCAAAGCTGAGCCATGCGCCCCTCCAGCTGGAGGAGCAGCTCCATAGGCTGAAGTGCCCCCGGGCTGGAACCTGCCCCCTCCCTTCCTCTAGGCAAGTCACTGACCATCTCTGTGCCTCAGTTAATCTGCACTATGACTATAACAGCGCCTCCCTTGGAATGCTGTTCGGGGGGTTTAATGTGTTAATACTTAGGTAAATTAAAAAATAAAGGTCTTTCTCTCAGCCCTTGACCTGTACCACTGACATTTTGAGGAGAGAAATTTTCATAAAGACTCATGAAATAGAAATTTTCAAAAGTGGTCCCCTAGGACAGCTGGAGGTAAAACTGTGAGCTCCCTATTCACACCCTTTTGTCACTTGGAATGCTCCCCCATCCTCTGTCCCCACTTCTTATTCTGCTCTTTAGTTTCCCTGTGGCATGAAAATAGACACAGCTCCTTCAGCACTCTCTTTCCACCTCTTCCCAGAGGCTCAGATTTAGGCTTTTAGAGATTTAACAATGGAAAGGAAAAAGAGCCCATAATCAATTGATTCTAATGACATCTGCTTATTGATAAGAGCGTTTGACATTGGCCCAAGGTAAGTGTATCATTTCAGACCACGTGATATGGGGTAAAATTTTTAGCTGCAGGTCTTCCTAGCCTTCACATCAAGCAGCTCACCCCAATTCTTAAGACTATCAGCCTCAGAAATTCAGCCTCAGAAATTCAGCCTCAGAAATTCAGGCATAACCCTAGGATTACACTTTTCTTTCAGTAAACCATGTTGTTTCCACTCAAAAGAGCAGTCAATGTGACCAGTATCAGTCTTACAGAACCAACTTACCCATATGGCATTCGGATAGAAACATTCAAAGAACGTTTTCATTTTTCATCAACTGTATTTTTATGTGAAATAACAGAAAAACACCTAAAAGGCTTGATGATTTAAGTTAACAAATTCTGATTTATAGAGGCACAATTTTTCATGTGTAATTTTTTTCTGTGTAATCAAACAGCAAAGAATAAATATCTCGCGATTTCCAATGGGACTGTCTGTTGTGGTTAAAATAAAACTTTTGAGTGATAAGTGTTTGTCTTTCTGTCATGTTAACATCTTTTCAGTCTGCGCTGGAGTGGGTGAGCTGCAGCTACTGTAGCCCACACGCCAGCGGGTGATTTACCGTTCTTGCCGCTAGGGGGAGGTGAAGCGAAGACAGTGAGCCACGTCTGCACAGAATGGACGGGGAGAAGTGGAAGAAAGGTAGTGAAGGCAAAGCCCAAATGAAAGGGGAAAGAGGAGGTGCCAGGAGGGAGAGGGGCTCCGGCTGGGCCTCAGGGGTATTTAGGGAATCGGCCATGAGTGTCCTGGGGTTAATGATTAGGTGCTTTGGTAAGCAAGCAAAGGCGGGGGCCTGCCAAAGGGAGCTTGCCAGGGGCTTCCTTTTCTGAGACAACAGAGATGGACCCCTGCTCCCTCTTTCATCTGTGCTCCCCAGCGAAGAGTGCAGGGAAATGAAGTCACGGATTATCAATGAGAATCGGGATTTTTGAGAAATTATCAGCCATGACATGGAACCCACTGATAACCTGCTTGGTTTCGCTTTGTTTTTGTTTAGTTTCCCTACTTGGCACAAATTCCTTCCATAACCTCAGGGAGGTGGAGTTGGGGAGGGGGTGCTGGGCTGGGAGGGGCAATGCCAAGTGTGGGGACTGCAAATCAAGCCCCAGTGACAGGCTCAGTGGAAGCGAGCACTGCACCTGTGTTTCAAACAACAACAACAAAATCTCCTCCCAAAAGTCATGGCCTATTCAGCATTTCCCCCAAAATCATGGCAGAAATGGCCGTTGAAATGGATTGTTAATTGTCTGGGTTCAGACACTGATAAGAGTAAACCTGCTGAGGCCAGCTGGGCTTTTGTCACTGTGGCTCCTAAGGGACATTGTTCCAGCCAGGGAATCCTGGGAGGATAAGGGAAGGAAGAGGGGATGGGGAGGAGGAACCCAGGCAGCCAGCCTGGCCCTCCAGGAAAGCCTTTCCCCAAATGACCAGATCCAAGAGGCAGGAAGAACCCCCATCCGTCCCAGCCAGGAGCTCAAAACTTGTCTCCAGAGGGGCCCTTTGTGTCAAGCCAGAGTCCAAACCATACCCAGAAGACAGTTGGAAAGCTTTGCTAGCCATGCCAGCACTCTATCACATTATTCTAATTCTCGGCATAGCATTTATCACTGTCTAATATTGACTTATGCGTTCGCTCATTTATTTATCCATTTCTTTATTGTAATTGCCTGTATCTCGCCACTGAAACATGAGCTCCAGGAGAGCAGAGACTTTTTCTGCATTGCTCACCATGCCAGGCCCAGAAAATAATCTAGGTGCGACATCGCAAGTGCTTGGTCACTATGCCTGCATGAATAAGGATCTGTATTTGAGAGACATCTCCCCATAGCAGTGTGGATAGACTGTGGTTTGGGGGATGGAAGGAGAGAGCAAAACTGGAAACTGAGGCAGGAAGTAGGAAACATGCATGTAACGTATCTCATTTCCACTCCCAGGGGTTGTGATAATCCGTGCTGCGAGACAGCAGGACAGAAGCCTGAGTCTACAGTGTGCGGGGCAGGGAGGCAATTAAGGCCAAGTATAGGAGCAGTGTTTAGGGGGCGAATCAGGTGACACAAGAGGTGGGCATTCCAGAGGGGCCAGTTGCGAACAGAAGTATAAACCAGGGAGCAGGAAACCCTGCGGTCCCAGGCACAGGGGGCTAGTTACAGCCAGGGGAGCAGGTGTCATGCACCCTCCCTTCCCCCAAAGAAATGGGAGTTGAAGGAAAAGCCTGAGAATGAGGCTGGGGAGAAGCAATGCTTAATAAGGGATGGACAGGTCAAGAGGAGTTTAAAAGGGGACAGTGTGGCTGCACTGGTGCCCAGGTTCCCCTCGTTGTCCCCCAACTCTGGTAGTGTTGGTAGCTCCAGGCTCTCTTCTGAGCCCCTGTTGGGAACTGCCCTCAGTGAAAAGAGCCGCCCCTCACCAAGTTCACAGCATCCAGTGGCTGGTCCGGGAAGGGAGGAGATAGAGGGCTGAACCCTCCCTCAAGGCTGGACAAGTCTGAAAGGCCACCTCAGCTCAGAGTCTCTGTGGGATGGACTGAGGCCCTTCTTACAGGTACAATTCTACTTCTGCTCAGGGTTACTTCTGTTATTCCTCTGAGGCAAAGACACCAAGGTCAATTCTCGGGAAACCTGTTTCACACTAATCTTCATGTCTGTCTCCAGAGAACCTGACCTCAGACAGCTGGCGCTGGGAGTAAGCCGAGGAAACAGACACTAAAACGGAATCACAGAGCTGGGTCATCCACCTGCCAGCTATAAACGAAGCCCCATCCCTGGTGGGCCCCAGTGATGGGCAAGGCCCTGGGAGTCCCAGCTTGCTGGAGAAGCACATTGCTAAAACCTGCAGTGGTGATGTGGGTGATGAACTAGGATGGGGCGTCCCAGAGAGAATACCCTGACCCAGGAGACGGAAGTCTACTGGGATTTGCTTTAATATAATCTAGTTAGAGAGTCACAGAGGGAGAGTGAAGGTAGGTATACGTGAAGCTAGAGTGGCCGTGACATTGGGAAGTTGGGTAATGGGTACAAGGAGATTCATTTATGCTTTCTCTACTATGTGTATATATAAAAGGTTTCCATAATAAAAGCTAAAAAACAGAAAGGGAGTAGATATCAATGAATACGGTTTGGGTGGCAAAAACAGACAATTAGGAAACCAAGACTTACCTTTTTGCCATCTCTCAGCGGTGCTGTCCTGGGTGTTGGGGATATAGCGGTGAACAACACAGGTGAAAATTCTTGCCCTTATGAAGATTACATTCTAGTGGGGAGAAACAGATAGTAAACAAAATGATTGGGACTGAGAAAGTGTTTTTGTGCACCTGTGTGTTGACTCTGCTTTTTCTTCCTTCCCCTAGGAGCACAGATTGTAGTCTTGGAAACAACATAACTGGTTCAGGGATCAATACAGTGCAATGAAGGTATTGTATGAAAGGACTAGGATCACAGGCTGCATATATAAGTCCTTCATTGACCGAGCGGCCATGTGCCCCTAACCCATAAAGTAGAAATACTGTTTCCTTCTCCTCGAATCTAGCAGTACTTACAGCCTGGAAGGAATCCCCTGGAGGGAACCAGAGCCAGCTACATGTTTTCCTACAGCTCTATGAGATGCAAAATGACTTCAGCAGCTCCACACCCTACAAGCTCTGTCACTCAGGTTGGCGGGGAAGACCAGAGTTTCTTTCCCCAGATATTAAGCAAAAGCTCCATTACATGCTATTGGCTCTGATTGGGTCGTGTACCCTGGACCAATGATTGTTATCAGATGAATACAGTCACTGATTGACTCAGGCTAAGTCTTATGCTCCTTTCCTGAGCTGAGGGTGGAGTCTTGCTCAAGGACTAATCGCACAGGGTTTGTTTTGACAGTTGAGTTGACAGGATTTGATGATGATTTTTAAAGGAATAATAGAGCAGTGATTTTCAATGGGGTGCCACCACTCAGAAGGGAGTTTTTAAATTTTGTGGGAGTATTTCTGATTGTCACAATTATTAAAGGGGAGCTACCAGCATTTAGAAGGCAAGAGCCAAGGATATCTTGCCTTGCACAGGGTAGTTTTCAAAAAGAAGATAGCTCTGAATCCTGCATAATCTTCATGTATCTCATCCAAAATTAACCCTGAATGTATACTCTACCACAAGATGGGTTGCAAAGCGATTTGTTTTCTATAGTACTATTGCCACCCTGACCCATATCATAACATAGAAAATTTTGTCTCTACCCTTATAAATAATAAATAAAGCTGAATTCATGTCTAAGATTCCCACACCTCATGTTTTTCACTTTAATGGTCTCAGTCTGTAACTTGTCTTGACATGTTATCAACTTATCCAGTTCAATTAAGGATATTTCCCTCATCCTTGCGAGAAAGAGATCAAACTGTGAAGCCCCTTCAAGGTTTTCCCCATTGTCATCACAGAAGGAGGGGCCTCATACCATCAAAGAAGGAAGACCAGACATCCTGATGCCAAGAAGAGAAGGAAAAAGTGCAGTTATAGCCAAAGTTTAGCACATATTTAAGTGGGGGTAAAAAACTATTTCAAAGAGCACTGATAATATGTGTTTTTAAGATTAAAACATTTGCCCAGGAAAACATTTAGATTCTATAAACAAACTACTCTGCTTGTCCAGGGAAGTAAAACATCAAGAGTCCCACTGTTCACTAAGTTTTTAAATTTAGAATACATGGTATGAAGATTGCTTGGCTATAAAGGGGATGACTTTTGCTGACATTGGAGTAACTCCAGTTTTCCTAAAACTAGTTTGCAATCTAACATTGTTTTTTTAAGTCATCTCTGCTCTCTCCCAGTCCTGAACTTTCTGTTTAGAATGACTTCTGCTCTTAATTCCCTTAATTCTTCAGAAACAGATGCAAGCATCTGACCACTTCATTATGCAGTGTTGGTTTCTACTGCTAAGTAACTCTGTATCCTGAAATTTAGTTGCTTAGAAAAACGTGTATTATCTCACGTTACTCTGGGTCAGGAATCCAGGTACAGCTCAGCTGGTCCCTCTGGCTCAGGGCCTCTGGACAAGGCTGCAGTCAAGACATCCACTAGGGCTGCTGTCTCCTGTGAAGGCTCACTGGGGTTGGATCCACTTCTAAGCTCATTCATGTGGTTACTGCAGGATTCAGTTCCATACAGGCTTTAGGACTGAGGGTCTCAGCTCCTCACTGGTGATAGGCCAGAGCTTCTACATAGTTTGTTCCAACATAGTCCTTTCTGTAAGTCTGCTTGCTTCATCAGAATAAGCAAAAACCAGAGAGAGAGGGAAGGAGACAGAGGATGGAAGTCACAGTTTTTATAATGTAATCCTGGAAGTGGCATCTCATCATTTCGCTGCATTCTATTTATTAGAAGTAAGTCACTTGGTCCATCCCACACTCAGGTGGAAGAGATGACACAAAAGAATAATTTAACTTGGAGCCATTTAAGATGCTACCTACCACACAACCCAAGCATTTGCACAATAAAATAAATCTTCCTATTATAAATTGTATTCCTTTTATTTCTCTACTTTATTATGGCTAAGGCATTACTGGGTGTAACCTACATTGTCAATGAATTCCAGTATAGAAGGGAAAGAGAGCACTGCAAAATATTTGCTATAAAAAGGGGGATGTCGAGTCTGCCAGAGCTGGAAATACCATCCCAGATTATGCACAGTTCTAATAGGAATGAAGCATTCGGCAGGGAGAGATTGACAGTGGAGAAGGATGGAACGGAAATCCTTGAGAAGCCAGAGGAGATGGGAATCAGAGCATATTAGAGGGGCTGGATTTTGATAAAGACAGAAAAATATGCATAAGAGAAACTTAGAGGAAATAGGATGATTATTTTCAAATATCTGAATGACATCCTGTGGAAGAGGAGCTAGATATATTTAACATGGCCCCGATTGGTAGGATTTAGACTAATGAATGGGAATTAGAAGGCACAAAGATGCATGAATGGGAAAGAAGAGATTTTTACCAAGCAGAGCCATCCAAAGCTAAACAAGGCTGCCAGAAAATGGGTTTAACAAAACTTACTGCCTGCAAGCATTGGATCCATGCCTATGCTACCTCATCACATGATAGAAAGATTAGAGCAAGAGGTGGTGGGAAGGAGGGGAGGGTATAGCTCAAGTGTAAAGCACATGCTTAGCCTGCAGGAGATCCTGGGATCAATCCCCAGTACCTCCATTAATTAAACAAACAAATAAACCTAATTACCTCCCCTCCAAAGTTAAAAAAATAGTAATAATAATAATAAGTGGTGGGAATAAATGGCCATTAAGAGGATGTGGAAGATTAAGAGGTAAAAACTATCAAGCATAAAATAAGCTACAATATGTTGTACAACATGAGGAATATAGCCAATATTTTATAAGAGTGATGAATGGAATATAACCTTTAAAACTAGTGACTCCCTATAGTGTATACATGTAACATATAATATTGCACATCAACCATACTTCAATTTAAAAAATAAGATTTTGTAAAATAAATACATAAATAAAGAAAAAAAAAAGGTTTCTTCCAGCCAAGAGGTTCTCGGACATGCTGAAGTATCATTTGCTAAGAGACTGTTTTGTGAAGATACCTGTGCTAGACCCCTTTTTCTTTCTCAAGAGCTTGTCTTTTAAAAGAAGAGAAGCTTTGACCTTTTAGTTTTTGTCTTGTTTATGTGGAAGCAGAAGTCAGCACCTCCTCAAGGTTCCAGATCTTAGAGGGCAAAAGATACCAACTAGAGCAAGGACAGCATGAGGCTAACGGACAAAAGTCCATCAAAGGAATCGATTGTTATTCCTTCATTTAAAAATATTTATTGAATACCTTCCATGTGCCAGATCTTGTAAATTAATGGGCATTCTGCTAGAGGCTAGTTACAATTTTAATAGCAAGATATCCTTACCTGAGTGAAAGTAGGTCAGAGAGACAGAAGGACTTAAGCAGAACTTCTTAACTAGCTCCAAAATTTTCAGACACGTGGTAGACTGGCATCTTGGCAAAGGTTAATTAAAACAGTTAGGAAAGCTTCATATTTGACACAGACGTGGGCAGTTTTTCTCTGAACATGAAGTGATGAGGCGCAGAGGAGCTGTCTCAGGGTTGCTGGAAGCAGAGCCTGAGAGAGGCTATCTACACAAGAGGTTTATCAGAGAGTGACCATGGGAGAAGGGAGGTACAGGAAGTAGGTTAGAGCAAGGGAAAAAGCTAAGCAAGAATGTGGTTCCCCTGGAGATGAACCCACAGGGAGGCTCAGGAGTGGAGATGCACACAGTTCGTCCTACCTTGAGGCCATTTATGCCCATTTATTCAGCAACATGAATATCACTCCTGACCTTAGTGAAAGCAGGCTGGGTGGTGAGGTAGGGGCAGAAACCTCCTTACTCTATTCAAGAGAACAGGAAGGGAGAAACTGCAGACAATGGGTGTGGACAACTCTTCTGACGATGGTAGACAATTGTAAATGCGAGCAGAGAAATGGAGTCATAGCTGGATAGGTACACAGGGTCAAGAGGGTCTTTTTCAAATGGGAAAAAAATTATCATATTTCTACGCTGATAGGGATAATCCAAGTGAGTAGAAAACATGATGGTGCCAAGAGAAAGGTGAGAGTGGAGGGAGTGAAGGGAGGGGCAGCCAGAGCACGAGTGGAGGGTGTGTCCTTGGGATGATTCACCTCCAGGAATATGGGGAAAGATGGACTACAGGGGGATATACTCATATGACAGGAGGTCAGGGGATGGTGATGGGAGTGTGTGGGAGTTCTCTTCTGATTGCTTCCATTTTTCCCTGAAATAGAAAGCCTGTCATGAGGGAAAGTGAGGAGGACAGGAGACTAAGGACAGAAAACATGCTGGGGTTCGGGGAGAGAGGACAGAGGGTGAAACAGTCACCTGGAGAGTGAGAAAGCAACTGGGATGAGGAAATTCTTGGTTAGAGATAACTTCACTAATTCAAGTAGTCTTTAGTTGATGACCTGAGAGTCCCTCAGGTGTGCAGCCTGAAAGACTGACTTCTCTTGCTTTTTCCGTATCACAGTATGTCCTTTACTTCTGTTCCATTCTCACTGTACTCACCAGAACTTCCAAACCACAGTGTGTTGTTGATTTCTATCTCCTAAACATCTTTCATTCTACTCCTTTCTCTTCATCTCAACTGCCACCACCTTAGGACAAGCTAATATTTCTCACCTGGACACTACAACAGCATGTTAATTCATCTCCTCACATCTTGTCTGGCCCTTTTTCAATCCATCCTATGTTCCAAAGGCTGAGTGCGTTTTCCAACACACAAATCTGGTCTTGTCACCATCACTCATCCCTGCAATGGTTCCCACTGCTTTTTAGCTAAAGACCCTGTACAAGCTGCTCTCTCCTGTGTCCCCAGCTCCCTCCCATTCCTCTCCCTCACCCTGTGAGCATCAGCCACAGGTGCCTTCTCTCAGCTGTCCTCCAGTAACCACATGCCCTTCCCTCTGAAATACCCCTGCACCTCCCCAACTTTGCTCAGTTAATGCCTAGTCATCTTTCATATCTTGTAAAACATGAATGAGAAGTAAAGAGGAATGGTAGGGACATTGAGGAGATGAATATATGATTAGAGTTGCATAAGTAATCGAGAGAGAAAGAGTAAAGAACAAGCAATGCCTGTAGATGTATTTACACAGAACTTTGCACAAGGACATCAGGACATATATTCAAGTATGCAAAAAATGCCAGCCATGATAAATAAAAAGAAATCTATACCTGGACACATTATAGAAAAACTGAAGAACACCAATGACAAAGAGAAAAACATATTTTAAAAATGAGAGAAAGAAAGAGAGAGAAACCAGAAAAATAAACAATACACACACACACACAAATAATAGAAGAGACAACGTCAGATGAGTGAGGAATTCAGAGCATTATTATAAGTTGGCACATGGAAGCAGCACAGTCACTGGTTGTGTTCAGAGAGGGGATGGAATCTGGAATCTTTCCAAATGTTTCTAGAAGTAGAGTATCAAGAAGTAAGCCACGGGAAGTGGTCTTTAGCTAAAAGGCAGTGACAATAAAAAATTATTCCCTCTCAACTGAGATAAAGTTTTGCTTTGAATCCAATCTCTTAAGTTTTTCAAAATAAATGCACACAAAAGCACACATGTGCACATCCACCCACGCACCCACCCCTACACACTGCAAAGATTCAGAGACCAACCAAGGAGCCCCACGTTTCAAATAAAATGATCGCAGACTCTCAGCAGTAGGCGTGCTCGGCATGACATATAGCCGGCAGAGGCAAAAATAATGACTCTCCCCACAGATAGAAATGGACTCTAAGCACGCATGACTTTGCATTTCAATCCTGTCACTATCGGGTAGAACCAACTTCTGTGAAAGAAACTTAAGCAACGGAAAGAAAAGTCAGTTATTTAAAAATGAGCTAGAGTCCATACTCATCCAAACAAATATGAAAGTCATAGACCT